TGGAAGGATATTTTTACCCCTGGGAACAGTTCATTGATTTTAACCCAGTCTCACAGATGGTTAGAATTGTGCATTTTGTTTTAGCCTTTCAAAGTATCATTTTGTGGATATCTTTATTTATTATTAATGCCTTTTTGTAATGTCTGCATACATACTGAGATATAGATTAATGTTTTTTTTAAGACCAGAAGTTCTCTGAATTATAATTTTTTTTCTAATTTTAGAAATTTATAAGGATTTAGAGTTTAAAAAATCTCTGAATTTTAGTTAATTTTTTTCTAGTTTTAAAAAACTGTTTCATGGTATTTCCCTTTATTCTTCTGTGAACATGATCTTTTATAATTAGCAAATGACCATTCTGGAGAGGTGTATTTAAAGATTTTAGAAAGAGTACAAGAAGAGCAACCCCCCATCTGCTAATCATTTCTAATGTGCAAATACGACTTCTTATACCCTGAGTTTGCTGTTGTGCTGACTTTTATTCAATTCTCAAACTTAATAATCCAATTGGATTTGATTCTAGGATAGACTTGTATTGTTTCATTGGCTGTTTTTACACTGGCCTTCAGTTTGGTAAGTAGTGTGGTCTAGGAACATGGTATTATTCCCAGGAAGAGGTATTGAGAATCCTTGTTTTGTTTTACTTACCTACTTACTTACTTAATTTAAATTATGTCTTTTATTGTTTAGAGATTCAGTTTTCCCACCTTTGTGATGGGAATAAAATATTTAAAAGATGATTTTACAACATCATAATTTGCAGTAAAACCTCAGTGCCTCACTTATAACAGCATTAATTCCTGAGCCTTCTCAGGAAACTTTGGGTCATTCTTGCTTTGGATTTTATCTTACCTCTTCATGTCAGTATAATTTTTGCTTAATTTATATCAAGAATCTATTTTGAAAAACCTGTCTTTGGAGTATTAGAAATTAATAATGTGGTTGCCTTTGGTTAGATGCAGTCCTTTAAGTGCTGGTTTTGTTTTGCCCCAAATCTTAAACCTAAACCAGTGATTCTTAACCCTTGCTGCCATTTAGAAGTAGCTGGAGAGCTTCAAATAGCAACAAAAGCAGGGCCTAGGCCCCGTCCCTAGACCAATAAAATCAAACTCTGTAGGGATGAGGCCCAAGGCACTGCAGTTTTAAAAGGGCTTTCCACTTAGTGTATTCAGAGTTGAAGACCACTGGTGGAGATACTTAATGTTAAATGTAATTTATCATTAATGGAAGCCTGATATTGTACATTAGCAGCCAAGAACAGTAAAGTCATATACAATCCCTGGGGTATCTATCTTGGAATTGTCATGTGATCAGCAATGATAAAAGAAAACTATTCCCTTCGAAATAATCTGAGAAAAGCAAAGCATTGTGTTCCTATTTAAGTAGACTCTACCACTAACCGGTCTCAGTTTCGTAATCCTCCGTTGTCAAAATCTAGTCTCATCCTCCTCAATCTTTCCAGAAACATGCTCTGAAAATAAGGTTTTTAAAAACTCATTTGTTTAGAAAACCTTACTTGAGGTGATAGGAGGCTATTTGTAGTTTTTCTCCTTAGGTTTTCCCCTTATTTCCTCATATTTAGGGTATCAATTCTTGACTTTTAAAGACCTTATTTCAGACAAGTTTAGTTAAAAGTTCAGGATTTTACATCAGATCTGAGTTTGAACACAGTTGGGGAAATGCTCCTCTTCTACTTAAACGAATGACCTTGACCAAACCACTTAATCTGTTTGACTCTCAAAGTTTGTCAATAAAGTGAGAATGACATAAACTTCACAAGATCGTTGGAAAGACTACATGAGAATAAAAGTGTTAAAGTCTTTATCACGGACCTAATCGACATTGACCAAAAGTTAACTATCGTTTTTCCTATTTCTGATAATAAATGGCATCTTGGTCCTTCTCCTTCCCTTGTCTAGTCAACATTTATTGGGTGCCCATTTTGTCACCAACATTGTGGTTAGTGCTAAAAAACCCATGAGTAAGGGAGGCTCTCTCCCATGCCCTTCATGACTTTTCTTGACTCCCTCGTTAGAGAGATCCTAATTGAGTGACTCCCTTAGGCACACAAACCTACACATGATAGGATTATTGTCCTATTGACGAGCTCCTCTAGTTTATAATTTATTCCTAAAAAAGAACTCGTTTTCAACTGCCTTGTTAATTCCATCCATTCTTTCTAATTCCCCACCCCACCCACGAATATGATTTCTGGCATAAGATGTTTTGGGAAAACCAGCACAAGTGTAGAAGGATCCAGTACTGTCATCTCCCTCTACTCTTTGTTTTCCTAGGACTCTTCCTTGTTGCATGCTGTGTTAAACCTTCTAAGAGACCAGCTCATTCCTTCTCAAATTCCTAATCTAGCCTACTCTGGCTACTGAAGAAATCTGGAGTCACTAAATACTACCAGAGAAGGGGGTTTTGGTGGTTGTCTCAGAAGAAAGGAGGGTGAACATAGGTTGATTTATATCTATTCATCTATTGCCAAGCACGAACATTTTATGCTGGAAATCATATTTGTGGGTAGGCAGGGGAATTAGAAAGAAGGATGGAATTAATGAGGCTGTTGGAAGAGAGAAAATGATCCAATTCTGTTTCATTGGCTGGGGACCACTGTCCTATGAAAATCCAACATTTTGCCCATCCTTTCCTTCCTGGAACCTCTTAGATCATTGTTGCCCCATTAGTCTGAAGGTACCCTGGATCCTAAGCCCTAGGATCTTGGGGGCATGACGACAAGTAGTCTATCGGATTCTCTGGCAGATTTCCTGGTTTTGCACTAAAATCTATTGGACCAGGTCTTGTGAAATTTACTTTTAAAGATCAACCACTGTCAAATAATTGACATCTCTCAAGGCTAAGATGCAGATTGTATCCAGATATTCCTTCTGTCAGTTTGTTCTCCCTTGAATCTCCTTTGTTTTGTTTTCTTGTGTTCTTATTCCTTTTGGTCTTTTTTTTTTTCCAGTTTCTCCTTTTTATTCCCCCAACCCTTAAATTTTGTAGCTATTTCTCTGGGCTTCCTTATTTTATGTACTGTAGGTGAACTCTTTTGTACCCCAAGACTGTCAAATTTTCATTCCTAACACAGAGCTTTTCCCTAATTTTCAGTCCTGTATCTTTTTGCTCATGGAAGCTCACTTTGGAAGTCCTTACCAGCATCTCAAATTTGTCATGACCAAAATTGAACATCCCACCCCAAATCTATCCTCCTTCCTATATTTCCTGCCTTTGTCAATGTCATCACTTTACGTATCTACCTCTCATTCTTCCCTTTCTCTCACCAACCCCTATTTGATTTCACTTCCTGGACTCTGTTGAATCAGCCCTCTCTATCCTTCTTTCTCTCCTCAACTCTCTGGTATATATTACCTCCACTGGTGCCAAGGAATCTGTGATTTTTCTAAAACATAAATTTGATTACAGTCCTTCCTTAAAATCATTCAGTTCTCTCCATTCCATCCATTCAGGACAAAA